TGTATAAATTCTATGTCAAAATGTATGTTTTTGAGTTCAAACACCAATGAGCAACTGGGATAACATAATATAGCAATAAACACATCCACCAATAGTCTAAATTATTTCACATCGAATGTTACTGGAAATAATTGAGTCTCCTTAGTGAATGTGTTTTTGCTATGTCTGATTTTAGTATCACATCTCATGGTATGTTTGTAGTTTGTACTGTACAAGCTGATTGAATTCTCTCAATTGTATCTTCTCTAGTTGTTGGTTCTCTAAATATCCCCACAAATAAAATCAGGCATCACAAATGATCATGAGGACCATTGTACTGGTTCATATAATTCTTTCTTTTTCAATGAACTTCACAAACATTAACAGATGCATGCATGCAGTGTAGCAAACACACAAAAGTTTAAATGTTAACCACTAATAAGTGCTGATTTCAGAAAAATGTTCAGATAAAAGTTTTTTTTATGTAGAATTATAATATGCAATAAAAAATGGAAATTCTCATTTAAGAAAATGAAGATGATCTATTTTTTCACTAATTGTATTGCCATCTATGATGAAACAGTGTAATCTTCAAGAAAACCAACATCTAATATCTTTGGTTTAATGAAGTTTTTTGTAGGATATGCATTTTTTGAATTATTCCAGTGGCTTGATTAAAATGAACCACCCTGTATATAAGTAGTCTGAGTAGATCTAAGCAAGAATATGACAATGAAAAGTCATATTCAGATTTGACATCACAATCCTGAGTGTGCGATTCTATTAATTTATGTATACATAATATTGGGTTGTTCCAAAAATAATCTCATTTTTCACACAAAAAACCAATTTTCTTATATAAATATTTTATTGAATTATATATTGACCATTTTGGTCCAATACCTTTTGCCATCTTTCTGATAGTAGCATGATTCCACACTCATAAAAGTTCTGATCTTTGCTTACCAAAAACTGATCCAAGTGATTTTTGACATCCTCATTTGAAGTAAATGTTTAACCATTTCAAAAATTTTGTAAAAACCAGAACAAGTAATAATCTGAGAGCAATCTAGCAAATATAGTGGATGTGGTAGCACATCCCATCCCAGCTGTAACAGCTTCTGACAAGTTACCAAATTTGTGTGAGGTATGGCCTTATCATGGTGAAATGCTACACCTTTTCTGTTGATCAATTCTGGCCTTTTTTGTTTGATGGTATCACTCAATTTGTCCAGTTGATGACAGTACACTTTCAAATTAAAAACTGAAATTGTCTGGTTGAAGTTAAAAAAAAAATCCTTTAAAATCACCACCAAACAGAGAGCATCACATTTTTTTGATGAATATCGGCTTTCCAAGTGCTTTGAGCCGCTCATCTCTTCTACTTCAAGATTGCTCACATTCAATATTGTAAACAATCCACTTCTCATCACCAGATATGATTCACTTCAAAAGTGGATCATTTTCTTGACAATTGAGAAGCAAATCACAGATGTCAATGCAATGGAGCAAATCTCTTTCTATAAGAACATGTAGAACCCATATGTCAATCCTTGAAACAAAACCAAGTTGTTTCATATGATCATAAATGGTTGAATTCAACAATCTCTTAGCAATTTCTCATATTGTTATTCGACAGACTGCTTCAATCAATATCTTTATTTTGTCTTCATCAGCTTCAGCTGACCTTCCAGAACGTGGTGCATCTTCAATATTGAAATTGCCAGAACAAAATTTTGCAAACCAGTTTCGGCACTGTTGTTCTGTCAACACATCATCTCCATACAGGTTACACAATTTTTTCTTTGCTTGAACAGCATTCTTATCTTTTTGGCAATAAAAAAGCAAAATATGCCAAAAATGCTGCCTTTGATTTTCCATATTTGATGGGACACCAAAAAAACTCAATTGCACAGAATCAAACAAAATTTTTACAAATAAACCTTGAAATGTCATATATGACAATATGGTTTAGAATGAAGTTGGCTGGTTAAAAACTCAACTAATTCCTCTAGTAGTAAAAAAATGAAATTACTTTACGAACAGCCCAATACATTAAGTGATACCATAAAACTAGATACATTGACAAATCCTAATAAAGATATTTTCGTTGAAAGAATAAATGGATTAAATGCTCAGGAACCGAGATGACAAAATAGTGTTCAAATAATCTTTCTCTGAATTACCACATGAACTAAATTATGTTAAAAGTTACAGGATTTTTTTTTTAAATCAATCACTCATTTCATCTGACTGCATGTGTATAAATAAGAAAATCCAAATTCAAACCATAAATTCAGTATATAACATAGTGTAATTTTATTGTCAAAGTGTTAATCTTTTCTGAAATGAATGCAACTGAAGTCACTGACATAATAATCAAGTGCACTTGAAAAACCCAAGTAAAAAGCTTTTGTCATCTTTACATAGATAAAAAGGCAGATTCTATAAAATTATACAAGTTGGCAGGGGCAGAAGGGATATGTGCCCTTAGCACATATCCCTTCTGCCCCTGCCTTTCCATGACCCTGTTTGTACCTTCCAACCAAGGGAGAGGCGATTCTCATAGCTGCCAGCCACGGGATATACAATCTTGCACCGGCCAGATACAGAGACGATCCTTGCACTTGCCAAGAAGGAGAGGCAATCCAAGACAAAGCAATAAATGGAGACTGCTTTTTTTGGTTTTTGCACTTATTTTCCATTAGACACACACAATGCCTTTTTTTTATTTTTCATTCCTAATTTCTGTTAGGCACACTCAATTGAATCAGGGAGCACAAACATCGTCACTTTGATTCCACTGTATATGGAAAATGAAGTCAACAGACTTCTATTTTTTACAGTCCATCAAATTTTGAGATCTAACTCAATTCTATAAGCCCACAGAAGACATGCTATCAACCTTGGGAAATTGCCCGATAAAGTTGCATGATTCGTGGCATATTGCTTCGTCTCATTTCCTCACACTATGATCTCTATCTGGAAAATGAAGTCACAGAGCCACATTTTTGTAACTTTTGTCGATTCCTCGTGGCAAGAAATGGAAAACAGCAAGGTTTTATCAAAACAGACGATCAAATTCCGAGATCAAATGCAATATCGTAACAGAAGACTACAGCCACACAGAAGACTATTTGCTAACGCTCCATCTCAACAAGTTAAATAATATTGTATAATTATTTAACATTACACATAAATTTGAAATTTCAAAGCCTCCAAAAACACCACACATACCCATGTTGGATACAAACACTATCAAGCTAAATTTTGGCCAAACGAAAGACTCGAAAATGTTTCTCTGGTAATTAAAAAGCTAGTTTCCTTAATAGCTGCATTTTATTTTCTTTAATTAAATTATTCAAAATGATAGCTTTATAGAAAAGTTTGAACTATTAAGGAATTCTTTCAAACTATCAATAGCAAATTTAGTTGTTATGTCACCCACTTATATGTAAAGCAAAAATCTGCGAAATAAAAGCTAAGAATTTCATCATGGGGGGACAGTACCGTAGCTTAGCGAAAGTATCGACACCCAAGTAGAAATATTCGGTAACAAACAATAATAGGCATCTAAGGTAACAAAATGATAGCTACTTTACCTTTGCATTTAAGTAGCAATAATTTTTAAGCGCCATCATCCCGTACATGCCGGCAGCTTAAAAATTACTGCAACTTAAATGCAAAGGTAAAGAGTTTAGTAACTACAGTTACCTTAGATGCATAACTAGCATACTTTGCATACGGGATGCTCGCGACCGTTTCGGGTAAATTTTAAATGGATAAATAACACGGTCTTCCGTACGGAGACACCAATTTTGCCGCAAGTAATCACGTCCCCGTGAGAACGGCAGATAATTATTTAACTAAGTAACGAAGTCTCGGGCACACTATCGCCAACAACAAAAGCCGGTATAATTTTAGTATGGCTCGGACGTCCGGCGAAATCCGCCACCCGCAGAAAAATATTTTATTTATAAAATTCTTGCAAAATTTATTTTCTTGCATTTTTATGGGCTTTAGATTTTAGATTTCAATCTTGTCATAATTATATATTTTTTAATAATTTCGAAACCCGAATATCGGTAATTTGAATCCAAACATTACATTCTCATTTACATTAACACTTCTTAGCAAGTCAACGATAACATCAGATCAAAACAGTCGTAACGAAAAAATGAATGAATTTTCCAGTATTTAAGCAAAGTACATCCCTAAATATCGCACGCGTATTACTAAAAACAGTGGTTGGGGGCCGGCGCATCACCGACCAGAATCGAGAAACGCACGCGCCCCAAAATCAAGCGAATCGTCGACGGGCCAAATCGCCATGACGTCGGGTCCTCCCGACATTTCGGGATTCGCATCCCGAGTCTAGTTTTTAAGATGCACGCCGACCGAAAACTTTCGGAATTTTTCCTCATTAATCGCTTACGGACGAAACATTGAAAGGAATCATTTTCATTTTTACTACGTTTAATTCGTATTTTTCTCCAGTAAAGCATTAACGGCACAATTTATATTCATTGGACGTAAAGAAAATACACCGGCAACGACGAAAGTATAAACGAATGTAATACCAACGGGAAGAAGAAAACCTAAGTGGAAAAGTTATTATAAACGATCGTAAATGAATTTACGGAAAGTGGACATTTTCATTATAAATGGAAATGTATCGGACTCGATTTATATTTAAAGAAGAAAACGGTGATTTTTTCCCAATTTAGCGCAAAGGAAGACAGTCGCAGCTTATTTTCCGATTTAACCGATAATTGTGCGAAAACCTTTGGGAAAGACGTCAGACAGAAGTTAAAGGAGCGGTGTCTTTAAACTCCATTCCTTACGCGTCGAACGTTAACGCCGTATTTATAATTACTTTCGTACGTACGAAAACGACCGAAACTGCTACCGACCGAGGCAATAACGATTTTCGAAATATTTTCCGACGGACGAGCACCGAACTAAAAAAAATACCCGGAAGCTAGCGAACTGTGGAAATAAAGACAGGATAAGGTATTTACCTGGGATCTGGCAGTATGATCTTCTTACTGGCTCTGGCAGCAGGTGTCGACTTACTTTTCTCCATCGCCATCAAATAACTGACATCGGCCAGGACAGCCTCCAGATCCGCCATCTTGGGATCTCTTCCTAATTTACTCCGGTTAAGCCTAACTCGTTAAAGTGTACTACGTTATTCTGCTGCACCTATCTTTAAGAATTTGTTGCGTGGTATTCCGATACGACACGTTTCGTACTACTACGTTAATCATCAGGAACGTAACATCACGCACTCTGGTTCAACGACTGTCGCAACCGGATGGACATTTCTGCATCCTATAGTCGCAGTCCGAAGACCGGAATGAGTCCGACTAGCGCCCTCTGTCGACGACGTGCGGAATCGGCCGGCCGGACAAACCTAGCTTTAAAAAGAGTTCCGACCGACATCTTATCTTCCCCGGCAATTTGGCAAAAATTACTTCTCCAAAGGAAATTTCCTTTTACTAAATTTATTTTCCATCCGCCGCTATTTCTTACTCCAAATCGCTTTACACCAAAAACATTAACCGTTAGTTTCCGGGTATTAGTAATTTTAACGCGACGGCTCCTCCACTTTTTTTTTTCTTTTCGGAAAATTGTCGGCGCTATAAAGGTCTTTCGTCGGTCGGATCTTCTCGATTACGTTCCGCCGCGGTCGTAATCGGACGAAACGGACTTTTTTCGCCGGCGACGAACGCATCGTAACTTCTCGATTAGAAACTTCTTAACAAAAGGCGACAATCTCGTTCACTCCCGTCCTTCCATTCCGACCGAAAAGCGCCACTTTAATTTAACCGTGTTTTGCGCCACCAAGTTATAAAATATTTATAAATATTACGCGACCGGAAATCTGCGCGTAACGTCGGTCGGATTCGGACGCTCGGCGGCGAGTTTAATTATTTGGGGTGGGTGAGAGCGAAAACGTCCTTAAAACACTTACGCGGGAGGAGCCCAAACGGCGTTGGACGGAATTAAATTTTTACAAATTTTTCCCCCAATCCTTTGTTCGTAACGATTTACGCAGGAGGAAGGGAAGGACGGACCGAGGATATTGCTTATAAAATGTAAGAGAGCGGAAGACGAGAGGAAATGTTCGATGATTAGTCCGGTTGCGGTAGGTTAGCGGCGACGGATCCGATTACTTTAGGTGTTACGGCGCGTAACCCATGGAACAAAAGCGTCTTTCGTCCACTGGTTTCCGATCGTGGACCGACGTAGAAGAAAAATCCTTTTAAGGCCTACGGTACTTTCGGTCCGTCGTTCCTTCCTCCCGCGGAGGCCATCGACTTTAAAACTGCCGGTACGCCCGGAAGGTTCTTCTTTTCTCTCGGCCGTGGGAAAAACGGACCGAAGCGGACAACAAAGGCTTCCCTTCGTACAGTTACGCCTTAGTGTACCGACGGCCGCGCCGGCCTTACTTTAAAGTAGAGGTCGACCGAGTCCCGACGGGAATCGATCTATCGGCCTCCGGTTAATCGAAAGTAGCTCTCCGTCCGTTTATTCCGGAGCTCCGAAATTGCCGTCTCGCTTCCCAAGCCCGCGGCGGGGAAAGGTTCCGGAAAGGCCAAGCCACGTCTCCGCCCGCGGTCGGGCTGACGGTGCCCCCGCGCCCTACGTAACTTGCGCTCCGGCTAGGGCGTTCTAAACTTAGACTACCGTTACGTTCTGTACGCTCGGGCCACCGCCGGAAAAGAGAAAAACGGGCGCGGGACGGTGACCAGTCGTACGGTCCGACGTCATTATTGATTCGACGGCGTGTAATTCCGTCCCATCAACGAATAATGACGGAAAAGGAGGCGTCGTTAGCAGGCTTAGCAAGCGTACAAATTGGCGAATTATCTTGTAAATATCTGTAAAATATACATAAACATAATTGGGGTAAAGACTAGGAGTAACGAGTTATTTACGAGTTAGGAAAAGGAAACGTTTCCGAACGACATTCCTTAACACGCTAACTATTTTATGTCCGAGAAACAAAGCCTTTCCTACAACTTTTACACTTTTTTTCTTTTAACGTATAATGTATTTAATGTATAACGCCACGTAATTTTATTTTTACATAATTGTCGTCTTTCTTCTTACATGTATTTGTTAATTTCGGGGGTAGATGTCGACCGTCCTTCCGTACTTTTCTATTTACTTATAACAGTAAATAAATAAATACGGTACGTCGTTTGTATAAATATTGTTAATTACAAAGTCGTTCTTTTAACTCGCTTTTTTAAGAAACGAGTTAATTGTTTCTTTAAAAGTCCGATAAAAATTTAGTGGATAGGAGAACGATAGAAAAAAATGGCGATTTTTATAAAGAAGCTGTAAGCCCCAAGGTCCTAGAACAGACATTACGATTTACCTTATTTCGTACTACTAACCCTTCTATTGTATTATATTATAGTATTTGATTTATATAATTACAAACGTTATCTTACGTAGAAGTTCATCACACCGAGTAAACAATCTAACGCATTTAAAATTTTTTTAAAACTGTATAGTAGATAACAAAGAATTTTTTATTTAAAATGTGTTGGGTTTGTCACTCGGTGTGATAAACCTTTACGTAAGATAACCTTTCTAGTTGTATAAATCAAATACTATAAAATGAAAACAGTATAAACAGTTTGGTTATTTTAGCCTACCATTGTCACGTTTATCGCCATATTCGGATACGAAATGGCACGATTTCATTGGTCAATCTGCTAACCAATCAAATTTCGCGAAAAATAGACCAATTATTTAAACTCGGCATCCTAGAAAACCACTCGAAACATTTTGTGCTGGCCGATAATCTCGTATTATGCAACTTTCGTATTCAAATGCCTCCATACTGGTGTGCCCAATAAAAACAAGGGATTCTTGCGGAAGGGGGTCGAAGTAATTCGACAAAAAGTACTTGTTTACCTCCTCCTGGCCGGAAGAGAGGATGGTCAACGACTATTTATTAATACTGGTCTACTATTAATATTTGGAAAGTGATCCGTGCTGGATGGGTGTGTGCTAATCTTAACGTCCGAAAGACTTCATACATCATCTTTAAATAAAAAATTACCGTAAAAATGCTAGAATAATTGCTTTTATGTGATCCCATAAAAAAACTGGTGAAACCAGGATGGAAAAGTAAAGCGCGGCAAAAACATCCAACTTTTGAAAGTTGTGGCATAAGCATACCGGAAGCAGATTTGACAGTAAGACTCTCAACATGTGAATAAAGTGCACATTACACAGACTACAACATTGGATGAAGCAATGTGGCCACGATAATAAATAGGACAAATAAACATCGGCACAAAAAAAGACTTCCAGTTCTACTTTGTGTCTTAAAATCGTTGCACGTACCCTACATTAATTTGATCGAACGTTAGAACATCTTAAGCAGTATCAGTAAGAAGGCTGAGGCAATGGATTTATGAGTTAATAAGAAGAGATGAAATCGGGGGAGGGGTAGGATGTCCGGGCTTTCTGGTAGTTAAGCAAATCCTGGTAAATATCGCGTTTTATAGAAACATTAAAATTGTTTTGGTTTAGGCAACGCGACACGTGAGCGATATGCCGAGGAGGATACATTCCGGAAAGACATTTATGTAAAACTGATCCCAATTTAAATGTTAATAACGCGAAGAAAACCTGGAAAACACGTGGGCGGTTCGTTAGCCATGCGCGAACCCACGACCGACTACCGATGTTCTGTAATTATATCCATTCGGTTACTGAATGGTATTAGCTGGGATGTAAATTCCCACTATCGTCCATTCGTCTCTGTCCTTTCTTAAACTGGAGAACGAAGTTAGACAGATGAAAGTCGAGACCAGACATGGAAATCGTAAGAGAAAGACCAGATTAACTATATTTTAATGGTCTTGTTTATCAAGATTGACTTTCATTCCAAATTCCATCGAGAAAACTTCGTTCATTTACTCCTTTTTATCGTCTAAATCACGCATGCCAACATACGGCCCGCGGGCCAAATCCGGCCCGTCTAATGAATTTATGTGGCCCGCAATCAATGTTTCAATATTAAGTAATGAAGTCTGAATAGCTCGATGAAAATTCTGACGCCTAAAAAATAAGGTTAACAACTCACCGTGCGTTTAGAGCTAACCCTCCATTACAAATCTCGTCGTAAGTACAGCGTAGAGTGTTGATAAAGCATGATAATGTGAAAAATGTATCTTTAATCTCTATCTACAATTCAGTCTCTACGGGGTGACACCATAATGAGATCTCGCACCATCTCAAAATCTTCCTAGGCCAGCTTCTGGTTCGGCCCTTGGCAAAAGTTTTCTTTCCAATCCGGCCCGGGGCAAAAACTGTTGGCCACCCCTGGTCTAAATCTATCCCAACGATCTTTCTTCTACCGTATATCGCAAAATCTTAATAATTTTAATGAATTTTTACATATTGATCTCCCTGATTTTAAATTTAAATGTAAAAAAGCGCTGTTTATCTTTTAAGATTTGTTACCTGTTTTTATTTTGTTTTATTTATTTTTTCTATTTTGTTTCTCTTTGTTTTAAGGTGTGTTACTTGTTTTTATACGTTATTGTAGGGGGAAGAAATCAAATGTCTATCGAGACTTTTCCTCTAAATGTAATGAAATAAACGAAATAAATATACATATAAGAACTTCCGATTTGTATCGCGAGTCACGTTATTTCAATTCAAAATTTTCCTTCAAACGAAGTTAGATACATAACACAACTTTATTGCTAACGGGAAAAGTACTACTGTATGTACGGGGACAAAACACTATTCCACTCTACGCAGGCAAGTGCTATGTGCTACCCAAGGACCTTGTGTACTACTTACCTGTCGCGGTAATGGCGTTTCGCAACAGATCGTTGTCGTATTATTCGTAAATAGAATATACCGTATATATTTTTAAATTATATCCTTAAATACAATTACGTAAGAATTTGATAAAATAATCTGACTCCATCCTTTTACATAATTAATTTTTTTTAATATATGTATTTAGTTAATTGTTGTTAAATTTTTTTCTAATAGATGGTGCTAACTGTAAAGCCTGCAATCGAACGAAGACAGAAATTTATCGATATATAAAAATGCAATCGATATTTTGGGGTGGGATTACAACAGGATCTAAGTTAGAAGTAATTGAACTTAATTACAGTTTCGTAGCAATTGTTCGAACGGTCTAGAAGTGTATGGCGAACAAACAAACAAACATCCTCAATTATATTTAAGAAAAAAAAGTCGAATTTTGTCTATAGAGCATCTCTTCTTTACTCGCCCAATCACTGTGGACCGCCGTGCAGCGGGAAGTAATACGAGGCCCGTCCGATTGGGCCGAGCGAATTGCCGGGATCCGGACCTCGACCCATCCGCGTTCCTCTTTCGGTGGGAAA